TACAATACACACACACACACACACAGACATAAACACACGAGCACACACTCACACAGACACAAGCATCAAACACACACATACACACAGACACAAACATCAAAAGCAGACACAAACATTAAAAACACACACATCAAATGCAGACACAGACGTAAACGGACACTTTAAACACAGACATACAAACATAAAACACACACCACACACACAAACATCAAACAAACACTCAAATCAAACAGACACAAACATCAAACACATACAAACAGGCACACACAAATCAAACACACATCAAACAAACACACACAGACACACATATCAAAAACACACACATCAAACAGAGACAGACACAAACATACACACAGAGACAAACATCAAAAGCAGACACAAACATTAAAAACACACACATCAAATGCAGACACAGACGTAAACGAACACATCAAACACAGACAAACATAAAACACACATACACAAACATCAAAAACACACACCACACACACAAACATCAAACAAACACTCAAATCAAACAGACACAAACATCAAACACATACAAACAGGCACACACAAATCAAACACACACCAAACAAACACACACACACATATCAAAAAACACACACATCAAACAGAGACAGACACAAACACACACATACACACAGAGACAAACATCAAAAGCAGACACAAACATTAAAAACACACACATCAAATGCAGACACAGACGTAAACGAACACATCAAACACAGACAAACAAACATAAAACACACATACACAAACATCAAAAACACACACCACACACACAAACATAAAACACACATACACAAACATCAAAAACACACACCACACACACAAACATCAAACACATACAAACAGGCACACACAAATCAAACACACACCAAACAAACACACACATATCAAAAAACACACACATCAAACAGAGACAGACACAAACACACACATACACACAGAGACAAACATCAAAAGCAGACACAAACATTAAAAACACACACATCAAATGCAGACACAGACGTAAACGAACACATCAAACACAGACAAACAAACATAAAACACACAAACACAAACATCAAAAACACACACCACACACAAACATCAAACAAACACTCAAATCAGACACAAACATCAAACACATACAAACAGGCACACACAAATCAAACACACACCAAACAAACACACACACACACATATCAAAAAACACACACATCAAACAGAGACAGACACAAACACACACATACACACAGAGACAAACATCAAAAGCAGACACAAACATTAAAAACACACACATCAAATGCAGACACAGACGTAAACGAACACATCAAACACAGACAAACAAACATAAAACACACATACACAAACATCAAACACACACAAACATCAAACACACACTCAAATCAAACAGACACTAACATCAAACACATACAAACATCAAACACATACAAACAGGCACACACAAATCAAACACACACCAAACATACACACAATCTCGGATACGAGCGGCCGAAATGAGTTTCCTTCACAGGGTGGCAGGGCGCACTCTTATGGACAGGGTGAGGAGCTCTGACACCCGGGAGGAGCTCGGAGTAGAGTCGCTGCTCCTCCACATCGAGAGAAGTCAGCTGAGGTGGCTCTGGCATCTGTTTCGGACGCCTCCTGGACGCCTACCTTGGAAGGTGGTCCAGTCATGTCCCACCAGAAGGAGGCCTCGGGGAAGACCCAGGACACGCTGGAGGGACTATGTCTCTCGACTGGACTAGGAACGCCTTGGGATCCCCCCGGAGGAGCTGGAGGAAGTGTCTGGGGAGAGGGAAGTCTGGGGTTCTCTCCTAAGACTGCTGCCTCCGCAAAAGCGGCAGAAATGAATGAATGAATGAACATCACCCTGTTATTTACCTGTTTATTTTTTGGATTGTTTTTGTCTTACCTGATTTCTGGAACTGTTCTTCATCGGACTCGAACCCCATCGATGCGGTCAACTCCTCTTTGCATCTCAAGTACTCTGACGTACGTGTCAAGCTACTGGGCAAACTGGTAACAGCGGAAAAGCTGTCCTTATGCAGGTAAGTGGTCGGCTGGTTAGCAAGAAAAGTAACGGCGTCGCCCCGCAGCGTTCCGTTTAAAGACGAAATGCAGCCATACGAAGCTCTGGCTACACAATTCACGACCTCCAGAAACGTATATAGGGGTATGCTTTTACAATGAGCTTATGTTGACATCTGCATGTCATTCTACACCAGGGGTCACCAATCCTGGTCCTGGAGGGCCGGTGTCCCTGCAGGGTTTAGCTCCAACTTGCCTCAACACACCTGCCTGGACGTTTCAAGTATACCTAGTAACACTTTGATTAGCTTGTTCAGGTGTGTTTGATTAGGGTTGGAGCTAAAATCTGCAGGGCACCGGCCCTCCTGGAACAAGTTTGGTGACCACTGTTCTACACTATTATACACTCTTCACTACCATTATAATTGCTAACATAATGTTTTGCTAATCCTGTTTAACACTATGCTAGCATGTTTATATTTTGCTCCCAGCCTGATTGACACATTGCTAACATGTTGTCTAGTCTGTTTGACGTGTTAATTAACATGTTGCATTTAGCACACTGCTAACATAACCTTTACATTATTGTGCTAATGTAACTCATTCTTTCAGGTTTAACATATTGCTAATGTTTAACATGTTTTTAGCATGTTTTACTGCATGGGTTTAAAATATATTTTTTGGAAGCTGACGAACTGTAAAACTGACGCCATTATGGAAATGTGGGTTGCTAGCATGCCTTACTTTTTAATATGTTCTAATACCATGCTAACAACATGTTCAGAATGAGCATCTGTTCCCTGCTGAAAAATCCAGCCTTAACCAGCCTAGGCTGGTTGGCTGGTTTTAGCTGTTTGACCAGCCTGGTTTAAGCTGGACATAGCTGGTTTTGGCTGGGCTCCCATCCTGGCTAAGCTGGTTTTAGCTGGTCATCTCCCAGCCTGACCAGCTAAGACCAGGTTGGAATTGGCTGGAAACCAGCCTGGAAGTGGCCAAAACCCCTCTAAAACCAGCCTGGTCGACCAGCTAAAACCAGCCAACCAGCCTAGGTTGGCTTAAGCTGTTTTTTTCAGCAGCATTGGAACTTATAATACATTATTTTACACTGACTGTGTGTATCTTCAGCCTGTGCTTGTGGATGGAAACACCTGCAGTGCTCCACACACACCTGTTTCAGTCTCGCCGCAGCAGAATGAATGACACGTTCTGCGCTGACAGACCTTCATGACACATCAAAATCAAACATTAAAGGCAGAAATCCTTTTAACGTTCTGACATCTGCAGGTCACTTCCATAACCAAAGCCATGTGCGTTTCATGTCTGTCTTTTAAGACTCACAGAATTATGGAAGGTGAATCCTGCCGATTTTAAATAAATCAAATAAACATTGGAAATTAAGATGAAAATCAGATGAACAATGTCATTTTAAAACACTGTTCGCAAAATATCTGCCAAAATTGATAACGAAATGAAATTATTTAATTTTTATTTTCACTTTGACCACACATCGTCCCTGTCAAATTGATCATTCAAATGAAGTTGCCGATTAAACATTTAATTTTCACTGCATTTCCGCGTCAAAACTGCCAGTATTCAAATAAAAACTGAAAAATAAAATGCAAACACCAATTCAAATTAAAATGTGAATTTAAGCTTTCCTTTTATTGACACTTTTTTATTTCAGTTTTAGATTTCATTTTGAACTTCAACCTGTATGCAAAGCCTATGCTAATCAGTGGGAGGGGCGTATTCAAGTGACTTTGAGTGCTTTCACACAGAGCCCGAGGGTAGAAGCACGGTTTTGATGGATGGGACAGCGTGAGTTACTAGTGTAAATTAGGGCTGTGCAATTAAGCGAAAATCCGATTTCGATTATGGCTTCTAACGATTATGAAAAACCATTAATCGAGATAAACGATTGTTGCATCATATACCAAAAGCGCGAAAGACCGCGTGCTTATGTGTGTGTGCAACACGCGTACACCCATAAGCACGCGGTCGGCATTCGGTCTCATTCGCACACTGAGACAAGCAGAGGAGCGCAGACATCTAAAGTAACCTTAACGTGAGCGCTTTAATGGTCAAATAGGTGTCAAATTGCGGTGATCAGTGATTATTCATATTAACCCTCAATTGCGTAATAAACAAATGAGTTGAGAATCAAAAGACGCGTGAAAGAGAATCCATTAAAGTGACAGTGTGAAATGCTGCCGCCTGTTTTATCATTAATCAAACGACGAGAACATCCCTGACTGCTCCTGACTGAAGGATTTTTGAAGCTAAAGTGTTTTTCTTAGGGTGAAGATGCTTAAAGCACAGTTTGTTTTATATTTTTATTCTGTTGTATTTATTTCTCTTTCCTTTGCAGGGTGGAAAATAACTGTGTGTGTGTGTGTATATATATATATATATATATATCCTCCATAATACACACATTTATTAATTATTCCAACTTGTCTTCCTCGTGATGGAGAATACGTGCATATGTGCCCATTGATTAATCCGTCCCTGCCCATCACTACGTCTAACCTCACAAGCAGCCTTACAGTCATATTGTATATAGGGCTGCTTTGTTGTGGGCTGCTGTATTTGAGTTTGAGGATGGGTAGATGGTTGTGGTAGATGACAGTGTTCATGTGTCCTCTGAATACAAGTTTCAAAAAATGTATGACTGAGTTTTTAATCATACAATATTTATCCTGTTGATTTTAGATGTTGTACCTAAAAAATATCCTCATTTAGAAACTGAAAACTGAAACTAATAAAAACTAAACTAAAACCAAGACATTTTAAAATATAGAAACTAATAAAAACTAAGAAATCTGCCTCTAAAACTGACCGAATTTGAAAACAAAAAGTCAAAACAAAATAGAAACTGAAACTAATGAAAAATCCCAAACTATTATAACCTTGCTACCCAGTGCGCCCTAATAAAAGCAAATATTCAAGACTCAATGGACACTTTCTACACTCAATCTCTCACAGCAGCATTTTCTGATGTTCAGAGTGAGACTCTCTTAACACAAGAGACCACTTTGCTGCATTGATGTCATGTGTGCAGCGTTTCTCCAGTGTGGACGCTGCTCTGACTGTCTGAAACTCTGTAGACACCGATCACGTGTACGATTTCTCTCCAGTGTGAATCCGCTCATGTCTTTTCAGACTTTCAGATTGACTGAATCTTTTGTCGCAGTGTGAACACTTGTACGGTTTCTCTCCAGTGTGAATCCTCTCATGTGTTTTCAGGGATCCTGACTGCCTAAATCTCTTGTCGCAGTGTGAACACTTGAAAGGTTTCTCTCCAGTGTGAATCCTCTCGTGCTGTTTCAGTTCTGCAGCTGACATGAAGGTCTTCACACACTTAAAGCACAGATGCTCTCTCACACCAGTGTGGATCTTCTGATGCCTTTTTAATATGCACTTCAATGTAAAACTCTTTTCACACACAGGACATGAATAAGGCTTCTCGCTTCTATGAACTGCAAGATGAACCTTCAGATGTGAAGCACTCAGAAATGTCTTGCTGCAGTGATCACATTTGTGCGTTTTCTCTCCGGTGTGGATCAACATGTGTCTACTAAGAGATGATGAGGCTCCGAAACTAGTCCCACACTGAGTGCATGTGTACGGTTTCTCTCCAGTGTGGATCCTCATGTGTTTATTAAGGGCTGATGATTGGGTGAAACTCGTCCCACACTGAGTGCATGTGAACGGTTTCTCTCCGGTGTGGTTCATCATGTGTTGTTTAAGCTGTGTGGCTTGGTTGAAACTCTTCCCACACTGAGTACATGTGAACGGTTTCTCTCCGGTGTGGACCCTCATGTGTCTATTAAGGAGTGATGGTTGGTAGAAACCCCTCCCACAATGAGTGCATGTGTACGGTTTCTCTCCAGTGTGGATCGTCATGTGTTTGTTAAGGTTTGATAATTGGTAGAAACCCCTCCCACACCGAGTACACGTGAACGGTATCTCCCCAGTGTGTATCCTCATGTGAATCTCTAGACTCTTTTTGTTTCCCAAAATCTGTGCACACCTTGTGCAAGTGAAAGGATTTTTGTCTCCGTTTTTCACAGTAAAAACACCACATGTCTTTAAAGGAGCTATTTTCCCAGCTTTAACATCATTACCCTCTTCAGTCTCCCCATTTCCATCAATTGGGTCTGAAAAAAATAATAATAAAGTTAAGTCTGCAAGTTTTAGAAAGTCTCTGAGCAAAAGTTTAAGGTAAGTCATTTAAAACACTGGCTTTACAAACTTTAATTTGGATGCACATCTAATCGTATTTAGTTTGGTCTTGTCTGAGTAAATATGTAATAAACTGGGATTCGTAGTGGTTTTCTTGGTTTTCCTCTTACTAAATCAAACTCAGTCAGGAGGTTATGAATATCAGACGAATATACTTTATTGTCGACAATAAAGGAGAACTTTCAGGAGACCCCCAGTAGCATCTCTGTCTGAAAAATTCTGTCTCACTCATGTTCTGGCCTTATTTAAATAGTCTTTTTCAACAGTTGTTTTCCTTTGTACTCCATATGTTACACAAGATCCCTTCTAGTTTAACCCCTGACCCCAAATTCTACCTCTGACATCTGTTTCCTGAGACACCTCAGGCTTTTTACCACTCTCTTTTCATCCCTTTTTTATGACCCTTAGTTGTTTCCTCAGGCCATTTCCCCTTTCTAACGCTACAAAACACTTTAATTGCTTTAATGGTATGCAAGTCTACAAGCAGATTATACACGTATAATTTGAATATGTAGATTAACTTCACACTTTAAAGAGTATAAAATCCACTTCAGCTTCAGTCCCTAATTTTACCCTGTGGATATTTTTAAAGATTTTTAAATGATAAATCAGATGAGCTGTTATCGTTATCCGCTTGTTAAGTGTGACGTCAAGCGAAGCGGCTTCCGGGTCCAAGCGCTCTATTCAACTGAATGGAGAGACTCATGAAATGGTAATAATAAACGTTTACAAAGCGATTTAAGGCTTTCGAAAATCACGATGGCAGTATATATGTCCATGCCTAATATCCGATGGCCAGAAAGTGATTAATTTTTTATGAATTGTAAAATTTTGGGTATTTGTTATGCAGCAAGCCCAGAGATTGTTGTGTACACTATGACTTTATATAAACTTAACTTTAATATGTGACAGGAATAAAACGCGATCATAAACTAATGATTTCTCCACTCAAGTGAATGGCGGCTTGGACCCAGAAACAGTATACATACGTCACAAACACGTCACCACTTAACAAGTGGATTGTTCTACGGCAGGGGTCACCAACCTTTTGGAAACTGAGAGCTACTTCTTGGGTACCGATTAGTGTGAAGGGCTACCAGTTATTAAATAACACATTTTTCCTAATTTACTTTTCATTATATGTTATTAATAATAATTTATCTAAGTGAAGACACTGATCATGTTAATGATTTCTCACAGTAGTTGTCAACAATGATTTAAGAAGTCTATCAAAATGCAACACTACATTTGTCTGAAATAGTTTTTAAAGTTTTTTTTTTAATAATTTAAAGTAATTTTCAATTTTACACCAATGCAAGAGTGATTTAAAAAGAATACCCATTAAAATATTAGATGCAGCTTACTCATATGTGGTGCTATGGTGAGCTATCTTTAGAACAGGCCTGCAGGCAACTCATGTGAACCTGACGGGCTACCTGGCTACCATGTTGGTGACCCTTGTTCTATGGGCTTATTATTAAAGAATCAAGAATAAACACCAACCTACTGACTCTTCAGTATCTTCATCTTTAATTCTGCAGGGTTCTGGATCACTCATGTTCTGTCCTTGCAGATTTCACTTCTTGCTGACGGTCTGATGCTCGTCTTCACTGGTGGGCTGATGGGAAAATTACAGTATTTATACCTGAAGGAGGAGGAGGAGGAGCCTCATTGAAGGAGGAGGAGCTTCAGAAACCCATTCAGTATCTGGTATGACCACCATTGGCCTCACACGGTGCAACACATTTGCATAGAGCTGATCAGGATGTTGATTGTAGCCTGTGGAATGTTGGTCCACAACTCTTTAATGGCTTTGCAAAGTTGCTGGATGTAGGCAGGAACTGGAACACAATGCCATATACATATTGAGCATGGATGGACAAGCTCAGTCCTGGAGGGCTGGAGTTCAGCAGAGTTTAGATTCAACCCTAATCAAATACACCTGCCTATAGATTTCTAGTGATCTTGAAGACATTGGCTGCGTCCAAAACTGCATACTTCCATATTATATAGTACACTAAAATCAGTACGCGAGCCGAGTAGTACATCCGAATTCATAGAAGTCGAAAATCAGTGGGCAAGTAGTACCCGGATGACTTACTACTTCCGGCGAGATTCTGGAGTGAGTATCCCATGCATGCTGCGCTATCCCATGATGCCCCACCAGCGAATTCATGAATGGGAGTGAAGCGACGCAACTGACGCAGGTAGATCCCCTGACCATGACAAAATGGAAATTCCATTCATACTTTTCACGTTCATACTGTAAAGAACGTACCTGTCTAACGGCCGAGTAGTACATTTAAATTAAAATGCAGTACCTACTGACTCTGACGATATCATAACCTTGACTAAAGATATCACGGTATTGTGATCACTGCTCTAAAATATATTCTTATTAAATGTCTGGGTTAAAAACTAAAACTTTTTTCCCCTTTGAAAGATTGATAATATTTTGGAGCACTAAACATGTCAGGCTGAATAATGAAAATGAATCACTGACTTCGCTGTCTTTATTAATTTCAAAAACATTTCTTTACAATTTAAAACGGCATCTTTGGACATATTACATAAAAAATTCAATAAAAAAATCGTACACATGCCTTAGAAACGCTGTTACAGAAGACTGTGGTGGTTTTAAAACCTTGACTTTTCCAAACCTGCTGTACGGTCACTCCTGCTTAGTATAAATGCTTGAAAATAATTTAATTGAAAATATCAATTAGAAACTTAAAAGTGATCAGTTACATTATTTTATGAAGTGATCTAGAAGGTACACTAATTATTACATTTTAAATAGGGTCATTTGTAATCTGTAATCTATTACATTTCTAAAGTAACCTCCCCAACACTGATTACCGGTAATGTTACAACATCTCCTTCTGGAAAATTGCTTGATTTAATTTACAGGTATTTTCTAAAAGGGCCTGTTCACAAATACAGACCAAAACAAAACGTCTGTATGTGTAAACGAGGCTATTAACAATGTGAACAACTGCAAATGACTTTTTTTTTTTTTTTTGTCCTCTGAAAATCATAAAGAAACAAAATATAATGAAATCAAAACAAGTGGGCCAAAAAAAAAAAAAGTTAATTATTTATCATCACTTTTTAAATGCTATAAATGAATACATACATATATATATATATATATATACATATATATATATACACACACACACACATATATATATATATATATATATATATATATATATATATATATATATATATATATATATATATATATATATATATCTAAACATGTTTTATATTTTGAATGAGGAAATTAAACATGTGTGGACGTGACAGAAAACCTTGCCTTAAAAAGTTTAGAGTCGGCTCTCTGTAGAACAAACATGATTGCTTTTATTTTATTTAATATTTTTGCATTTATGAGGTAAAAGTTTTGTTATGGACGTGACACCTCTCCATTATAGATGTGACCGATGTAAAATTGAACTTGTGTGACTTTGCTAAATGAAATATAATAGTTAGAAAACACTGAAGGAGACATTCTTGAGTAGTTTTTATGTACTGTAAAATACTTGCTTACACCAAAATGTAGAAACAGTTTTGCTTTTTTGGTTGAAGCTTAGTTTTTTTCATGGCAAGGTTGACATTTGCATTAATAATCATTACTTTAAAAGATAATAAAATAATTTATCATTTATCATTTTAAAAGTGATGTATTTTATCTTTTTAAATGTTCTCTGTCATGTTAATAAAAGCAAACTAACTTTTATTGTAGAACTATTATTTGTACTGCAGGCTACATTTATCTGTGTTTGCTTCAGTATGTGTGTAAGAGAGGGATGTATTTTGCAAGAAAACTCCAGAAAAACAAATCATAAAGAAATAAAATACAATAAAATCTCTGTAAACAGGTTACCTTTTCAAGGAAATATGTAAATACATTCTCATGAACACTTACATTCAATAAAGTTGAACAACACTGTGTTTTCCTCCCGTCACACACTGGACCTTTACATCTCTCTTCTCACTATAAAACAAAACAATCCCGTTTCAATTAAATGGTTTAAATTAGGATAAACACCAATATCGCACTTAATATTACAAAATTAAAGAGTCTTTAGCTTTAGCTTAGCTTCCCTTCACGATGCTAGTGTTGGAAATCGCGGCAAAAACAACCAAATCTACAAACATTTGAGCATTAATCACCATAAAAAGGGCTTTTTAAGAAACTGCATGCTTGCGTTGTGCAATAATTCACAAGTTACCGGACTTTGCTGGCATTTCTCAGTCTCACAACAGATGTTTACACCGCATAGAGAAACCTCGCGCTGCTCCTTTAGAGCTCTCGCGTGACTTTGCTCAGTTCACCCATGGGCCTTAAAGGGCCAGCGCACTACAGTCACAACATGGGAAAATTGTGCTCACTTTATGCTGTGTCAGCTATGAAAGAAAATCAGTAGCTAAAACCTGTAGTATTAACTATCATGAACTTTAATATATATATATATATATATATATATATATATATATATATATATATATATATATATATATATATATATCAGAGCTGTGAGTGTACATTTCAACCTGCACATACAAATGTTATCATCACAAGTGCTCACATTTAAATTTGCAGGCTCTCGAGTTTTGCTGTTGATTTGCAAAAATGCAAAGTTTTTTTTTTTTTTTTGCTGTTCTTTCTTTTGTGAAGTAAGGATATTATAACGGCCTGAATGTAGATTATAGCGGTTTTTAACCGGTTTTGATAATGACGGCTAAGAGTACACTCAGTTTTGGATAAGAATTAGGACCTGAACACCACGTGATAATTACAGGCAGGTGTGTTTGATATGCGTTGCAACTGAAATCTGCAGGAAGGCGACTCTCCAGGAACAGGGTTGGCCACCCCTGCTCTACTCATTAACCTCTTAAGGCCCAAGGTGTTTCTTTACATGCATTTTTTATTTCTTTGCTATTTGGGCTTATTGGAACCTAATTGGAATAAAAATCTAAGTATCATCATTTAATATGATGTACTTTTAGAAAAAAATGATGTCCATATATGTAGACTTGTAGTCCAAATGTACTTTTTTTTAAGGGATGCACCGATATGGATTGTTTGGCCGATACCGATAACCGATAATTCTCCAGACTTGGAGGCCGATATGTATAGGCCGATCATTATAAATATTTTAAATTGTTATTTTTATACAGCAAACTTCATAAAAGATTGAACTACTCTTATGAACTGAAGAGTCTATACTCAAAGCAAAAAAGCTACGATTTCAAAATTGCAAGGTGATTATAGACCTATATTCACCATTTCACATAAATCTGCATGTAAAAAAATTACTTCCTTTTCTTTATACCAAATTAACATGTCACGACCTGGCTCAAAGGCAATGACAAAATTAAAGGGAGTACATACACCAGATGGTTTGGTACCAAAAGTATTTATTTAAACATTAAAGAATAATCAAGTGCTCATTTTAGGTAAGCCAAATCAAAGATTAACCAAAGCTGAAAAGAAACAAAACAAAACAAACAGGAGCAAAAGCACGGCTCCTTCTCCAAGCAAACACTGCTGGCTTTTTATAGAGGCGAAATCAGGTGTTCCCAATTGCGCAGATGAGTCTCTGTACTTCCCGCTTCAGCTGATCAGTGGGTTGGTCTAAGAGACTCGTCACAAACATGCACATTGATTGTTGCATAAAAATAATCGTTTAAATAACAAAATGATATTTAATTAACAAGCAAGTTAAATATATTTAAATAGGATAAAAATTAAAGAGCTAAGGACTGAAACCAGCTCAAATGGTCTTAAATAAAACGTGTTACAGGGATGTACACATGTACAAATATGTCATGTCCGAAAAAGTCTTTTTAGAGGTGTTTTGACAGTTTAGAGCCACCGTAAAAGCCAACAGCTAAATACAGATAGTACGTTTAGAAAATGCGGCACACATTCATCCTATTTGGCGTTTTGACATGTCACATGTAGGTGCTGCTTGTCAATCAGACAACGCTTCTGCGCTCGTTCTTGCAGTCAATCGCGGGAAAATGATCGATGAAAAGTTTATGATAAACCGCTGAGAGTTTTACTCAACTGTAGAGGCAGAGTCGCCATCAGAATCAGATTTTGATTCAAAACCTGCATTGAGCTGACTTTATGGCAAACACAGAGCAGAATATAAAGACAGAATGAGCGGCTAGTTAAGAGCCCCTTTGACTTGACTCACCTCTCCCCCATGCTACAGTGTGTGTGTGTGTGTGTGTGTGTGCGGTGACAGCTCTCACACGAGCTCGTTATAGTCAATATGAATATTCCCATCGAACTGAATACTATCTTACATCAACAACACATGACAAGCAACGCGTTGACAATAACAAATAATAAGATTATTATTTTAACGGGACTGGGCTGCGGTTTGGGGTGTGAGTGAAGCGTAGGGAGAGGAAGAGGGAGCATTGAGATCATTTTCTGTGATGTTCCCTCTTTGGACACTAATTTGTTGTACCACATGGAAAGTAATAAATATTTTGGACCAAGTTACATGTGTCCTCTTTCATTCACCAGCTGCAACGAAAAGAGTTCACCCCGAAATTAACATTATTCGGCCCTGCAGTAATAAGTGAATCTCCCCTGCTTTCTCTAACACAACAAAGAGACAGAGCAGGAAAGGTTTACACATGTAATATTTTTTCTAAGGCGATTTAAAGCAAAATACACAATGACACTCAATCAAACACATCTACAATGATAAAGAACGTGGTTACTTACTGAGTTATTAACGCACAGCAAGCCATGCGAAGAAAGGACGGACTTTGAGGGAATAATCAGTGTGAGGAGAGATCCATTATAGTGCACTGGACAAGTCTGAACAAGTTCCGCCCACGCGTGCGCGAGGCAGGCAGGTCTGTACAATTACGTAATTTATCGGCTTAAATATATCAGCCTAATTATGACATCGGATCGATAACGATAATCTTAAAAATAGCATTTATCGGCCGATAACGTTATGGGCGCCGATATATCGTGCATCCCTTCTTTTTTTTTTTTACTTGCTTTGACTATCAGGGAGTAAAAACAAACATTTCCCCCATTTTGGACAGTTCAAAATCGTGTTTGGGACATTTTATATGCTGCGAAACAGTTACAGGATGATACTGTATGTCTCGATCAAAATGTAAAACATTCAAAGTATTTAAAATAGCCACTTAACAGCTAAAATGTGTTGTCCACATATGTGGACACTCAAGCCCTAGGACAGGGGTCACCAAACTAGTTCTTGGAGGGCCGGTGTCCACAAGCTAATCAAGGTCTAATGCTGCGGTCACACTTGACTTTTCTCCCCATACACTACCGTTCATACGCACGCGAATGCGTCACACTGGAAACGCAGAGTCATGCGTCAAATTTCGCAGGTTGCTGCAGTGCAAAGTTCAAGCTTGGTAAACTCTGACCTGCGAAATCGCATCACTTGACTGCGTGAGACCAATCAAGGATCAAAACACGATCTCTCTGGACAGAAATTTAAAACATGGAGCAATCGCTCGCTTTTTAAAATGTCTAATAAGCTTGTTTAAACACGCCCCTTTTCGTAGCGCCGCACGACAGAATATCGCATGCTCAACCTCTAATGTGACCGCAGCTTTACTAAGTATACTTTAAACACCCAGGCAGCTGTGTTGAGGCAAGTTGGGGCTAAACCCTGAAGGGACACCGGCCCTCCAGGACCGAGATTGGTGACCCCTGCCCTAGGAGGATACCACACAGTGTTCATTCAAGAGAAATACTTTTCACTGGGCCCAGACTTGATATGTGTGTAAAACAATAAAAAAAAAAATGTAAATAAACAAAACAATACCCCTCGTTGCAGGCCTGTGGTCCGTTCTTCGCACATGAATTACTCAATCAGCTGGATTTGGATGTTGACACGATCCAGGATCGTTTCGTTCTCAACTCATTCGAGAATTGTTGTCATAGCAACAGTTCTGGTAGCTCAAACCTGCGTAAGAGCAGGTTCATTTTATATAAACAGGATTAGATCGGGTCAATTCACGCAAATGCTGAAAGTACATACCGAATGCTGATATTTTCTTACAGTAGTTATATACCAGGCCCGGATTGGCTAATCGGGAGGACCGGGAGAATTCCTGGTGGGCCGGTCCGTTTTTTGGCCGCGAGGGCCGGTGTCCCTAGCTCCAGAATCTGTTGCTCTCAGCAGTCACACTTTTTAAATTAATGTATTTGTTTGACCACAGTCTTCTTATTCATTATTTTACCGCAGCTCTGCTTATATATATAACCAGCCTGTAGGTTATTGATGATATAACTCAGATGAGTCACTTCTCACTATACAACTGCTGTGGTCCAGTGGTTAGCACATTAGATTACGACGTCGCCAACCTGGGTTTGATCCTTGTCTTAGTATGTTTTTTTTTTCTTCAATATTTATTGTCAAGGCATATCATAGTGTTAGTGTTGTTAAACATTTGAAGTTCTAAAGCAGCTGTTTTCTAAAAAAAAGACGTGATATTGTAATTAGAAACTGAATTGGAAATGATTTTATTGTAATATAGTCAGTCGTGAACTGAGGTGGCCCGGTCTGAGCCTTGAAACACCAGGGCTGAAAAGGAGTCCCACTCAGGCCCTGTTATATACACTTGGGAAAATATTAAATATATATATTTTAACTATATATAAAGTTTAAAAATATATATTGTTCAACTTATGCAATCTGCACTCTGAAATAAAAGACTGCCACCTGCTGGTTCAAAGTGAAAACTTATTGATTTGACCTTTTTAGATACATACGCGTCCATGCACAATATTCCACAACAAAAAATGGTGCAGTCATGCACATGTTTTGACAGTGAATATGCCGGTGATTTGATGCTTGGCAAAAGTTGCAGACACCTTTACAGATATAAAATGCTTTATTGATGCAAAACATATTTATAGTTATTACTTACGCCGATTAAAAAAACTTGAGTAGGCCTATAGGCTACAAGAATAACGAAAATCTTTTCTCGAACCAGCGACCTTCTTGCTGTGAGGCGACTGTGCTACCCACTGCGCCCTAAAATAAGCAAATATTCAAGACAAAAGGACAGACTTTCTACACTCAATCTCTCACAGCAGCATTTTCTGATGTTCAGAGTGAGACTCTCTTAACACAAGAGACCACTTTGCTGCATTGACGTCATGTGTGCAGCTTTTCTCCAGTGTGGATGTTCATGTGTTTCTTAAGCTGCTCTGACTGTCTGAAACTCTGTAGACGCCGATCACATCTACGATTTCTCTCCAGAGTGAATCATCTCATGTGTTTTCAGGCTTCTAGATTGACGGAAATTCTTATTACAGTGTGAACACCTAAACGGTTTCTCTCCAGTGTGAATCATCTCATGTGATTTCAGGGCTCCTGACAGTCTAAATCTCTTGTCGCAGTGTGAACACTTGTACGGTTTCTCTCCAGTGTGAATCCTCTCATGCTGTTTCAGTTGTGCAGCTGACATGAAGGTCTTCACACACTTAAAGCACAGATGCTCTCTCACACCAGTGTGGATCTTCTGATGCCTTTTTAATATCCACTCCAATGTAAAACTCTTTTCACACACAGGACATGAATAAGGCTTCTCGCTTCTATGAACTGAAAGATGAACCTTCAGCTGTGAAGCCATCAAAAATGTCTTGCTGCATTGATCACATTTGTGCGTTTTCTTTCCGGTGTGGATCAACATGTGTCTACTAAGAGATGATGAGTCTCTGAAACTCGTCCCACACTGAGTGCATGTGAATGGTCTTTCTCCAGTGTGGATCATCATGTGTGTATTAAGGTGTGATAATTGGCTGAAACTCGTCCCACACTGAGTGCATGTGAACGGTTTCTCTCCAGTGTGGATCCTCATGTGTGTATTAAGGTGTGATAATTGGCTGAAACTCGTCCCACACTGAGTGCAAGTGAACGGTTTCTCTCCAGTGTGGATCCTCATGTGTTCATTAAGGGATGATGATCGACTGAAACTCTTCCCACACTGAGTACACATGAATGGTTTCTCTCCAGTGTGGATCTTCATGTGTCTATTAAGGTGTGATAATTGGCTGAAACTCTTCCCACACTGAGTACATGTGAACGGTTTCTCTCCAGTGTGGATCCTCATGTGTTGATTAAGGTTTGATGATCGGCTGAAATTCTTCCCACACTGAGTGCAAGTGAATGGTTTCTCCCTGGTGTGGATCCTCATGTGTTTATTAAAGTGTGATGAGTGACTGAAACTCTTCCCACACTTTGTACATGTGAACAGTTTCTCTCTAGTGTGGATCTTCATGTGTCTATTAAGGTGTGATGATCGGCTGAAACTCTTCCCACACTTTGTACATGTGAACGGTTTCTCTCCAGTGTGGATCTTCATGTGTCGATTAAGGCATGATGATTGGCTGAAACTCTTCCCACACTGAGTACATGTGAACGGTTTCTCTCTGGTGTGGATCCTCATGTGTGTGTTAAGGCATGATGATTGTCTGAAACTCTTACCACACTGAGTACACGTGTGTGGTTTCTCTCTGGTGTGTATCCTGATGTGTTCATTAAAGGATGATGAGTATTTGATACTCTTCCCACACTGAGTACATGTGAACGGTTTCTCTCCGGTGTGGATCCTCTTTTTGTTTCCCAAACTCTGTCCACGCCTTGTCCAAATGACACGATTTTTGTCTCTGTTTTTCACAGTAAAAACACCACATGTCTTCAAATTAGGTATTTTCCCAGCTTTAACATAATTACCCTCTTCAGTCTCCTCATCTCCATCAATTGGGTCTGGAAAAAAATAAAGTCTGCAAGTTTTAGTAAGTCAAAACACTGCCTTTACAAACTTTAATTTTAAGGACATCTAATCATATTTAGTTTGGCCTTGTCTTAATAAATATGTATTAAACTGGGCTTCAGTTAACTGTTATCATTATTGTTCTACGGGCTTATTATTGAAGAATCAGGAATAAACACCAACCCATTTGTTGTTCAGTGTCTTTATGTGTAAATCTGCAGGGTTCTGGATCACTCATGTTCTGTCTTCTTGCTGACGGTCTGATGCTCATCTTCACTGGTGGGCTGATGGGAATATTGCAGTATTTATACCTGAAGCAGGAGGAGGAGCCTCATTGTAAGAGGAGGAGCTTGCATCGAGCTGATCAGGATGTTGATTGTAGCCTGTGGAATGTTGGTCCACAACTCTTCAATGGCTTTGCAAAGTTGCTGGATGTAGGCAGGAACTGGAACACAATGCCATATACATATTGAGCATGGATGGACAAGCTCAGTCCTGAAGGGCTGGAGTCCAGCAGAGTTTAGCTTCAACCCTAATCAAATACACCTGCCTAGAGATTTCTAGTGATCTTGAAGACATTGGCTGCGTCCGAAACTGCATACTTCCATACTATATAGTACACTAAAATCAGTATGCGAGCCGAGTAGTACATCCGAATTCATAGAAGTCGAAAATCAGTGGGCAAGTAGTACCTGGATGACTTACTACTTCCGGCGAGATTCTGGAGTGAGTATCCCATGCATGCTGCGCTATCCCATGATGCCCCACCAGCGAATTCATGAATGGGAGTGAAGTGACGCAACTGACGCAGGTAGATCCCCTGACCATGACAAAACGGCGGATGTAGTACGTCCAAATTTCAATCATAATTTTCACGTTCATACTGTATAGAACGCACTTTTCTAACGGCCGAGTACATTTAAATTCAAATGCAGAACCTACTGACTCTGATGATATAATAAAATTGACTAAAAACATCACGGTATTGTAATCACTGCTCTAAAATATATTCTTATTAAATGTCTGGGTTAAAAACCCTCCAGTGTGGGAAGTCTGGGCTCTCCTCTTACTCCTGCCAGACGGCCTCGGCTGGAAGTAAACAACTCCCTGGGATAAGCAAGATAAGTGAACGCTCTGAAATTCGTGCCCCTGTCAAGGACACCTGCAGGACTCTGGACTATGCAGGCTCACACACACACAAACATATCTACAGATAAACATTCACCACCGATCCCCATCCAAACGCCTTCGTGTGCTTTTACCAACGTGGGGCGTGGGCGGGGCTGTGACTTGCACCTTGAAATGGCTGCTGGACCGGTTGGCTGCCCGCACTCAACGGACTGTTTTCCATTACCCCTGTTCCCACCCCAGTTGTGTCTTACCGGTGTGCTTATGCTAATATAGGGCTGTTTTTCTCCCTTTGTCCCAATCAAGGGCGAGCTGAGGGGGTGTTTTTTTATCCAAATGCATCTTTCTTCGTTTCTAAATGCTACCTCCTATGATCTGTCTCCCCTGAAAAGAGTGATGTTTTGTGTATAGTCAGGGGGGTCCAATTTCGCTATACGAAAGTGTAGTGACAAATAAAGGCTTGATTGATTGATTATGAAAACGAAAACTTTTTTCCCCTTTAAAAGATTGATAATATTTTGGAGCACTAAACATGTCAGGCTGAATAATGAAAATGAATCACTGACTTCGGCTGTCTTTATTAGTTTCAAAAACATTTCTTTACAATTTAAAACGGCATCTTTGGACATATTACATAAAAAAGTCAATAAAAAATCGTACACATGCCTTAGAAACGCTGTTACAGAAGACTGTGGTGGTTTTAAAACCTTGACTTTTCCAAACCTACTGTACGGTCACTCCTGCTTAGTATAAATGCTTGAAAATTATTTAGTTGAAAATATCCATTAGAAACTTAAAAGTGATCAGTTACATTATTTTATGAAGTGATCGAGAAGGTACACTAATTATTACATTTTAAATAGGGTCATTTGTAATCTGTAATCTATTACATTTCTAAAGTAACCTCCCCAACACTGATTACCGGTAATGTTACAACATCTCCTTCTGGAAAATTGCTTGATTTAATTTACCAGTATTTTCTAAAAGGGCCTGTTCACAAATACAGACCGGAACAAAACGTCTGTATGTGTAAACGAGGCTATTAACAATGTGAACAACTGCAAATGACTCTTTTTTTTCCTCTGAAAATCATAAAGAAACAAAATAGAATAAAATCAATAAAACAAGTGGGCCAAAAATTAAATAAATAAGTAAATTATATATCATCACTTTTTAAATGCGTTAAATTATTTTATATTTTAAATGAGGAAAGTAAACAAGTGTTATGGACGTGACAGAAAGTCTACGAGTTTACAGGATACAACATACTTTGTAGAAATTCTGTGAATTAAACTGCACAAGCCAAAAGAAACAACGCTAATAAAAAGGTTTAGAGTCGGCTCTCTGTAGAACAAACATGATTGCTTTTATTTAATATTTTTGCATTTATGAGGTAAAAGTTTTGTTATGGATGTGACACCTCTCCATTATAGATGTGACCAATGTAATATTGAACTTGTGTGACTTTGCTAAATGAAATATAATAGTTAGAAAACACTGAAGGAGACATTCTTGAGTAGTTTTTTGTACTGCAAAATACTTGCTTACACCAAAAATGTAGAAACAGTTTTGCTTTTTTTTGGTTGAAGCTTAGTTTTTTCATGGCAAGGTTGACATTTGCGCATATATATATATATATATATATATATATATATATATATATATATATATATATATATATATATATATATATATCATTACTTTAAAAGATAATAAAATAATTTATATGATTTTAAAAGTGATGTATTTTATCTTTTTAAATGTTCTCTGTCATTTTAATAAAAGCAAACTAACTTTTATTGTAGAACTATTATTTGTACTGCAGGCTATATTTATCTGTCTTTGCTTCAGTATGTGTGTAAGAGAGGGATGTATTTTGCAAGAAAACTCCAGAAAAACGAATCATAAAGGAACCAAATACAGTAAAATCTCTGTAAACAGGTTACCTTTTCAAGGAAATATGTAAATACATTCTCATGAACACTTACATTCAATAAAGTTGAACAACACTGTTTTCCTCCCGTCACACACTGGACCTTTACATCTCTCTTCTCACTATAAAACAAAACAATCCCGTTTCAATTACATGTTTTAAATTAGGATAAACACCAATATCGCACTTAATATTACAAAATTAAAGAGTCTTTAGCTTTAGCTTAGCTTCCCTTCACGATGCTAGTGTTAGAAATCGCGGCAAAAACAACCAAATCTACTGCCATGCGAACATTAAGCACCTCAAAAAGGGCTTTTTAAGTCACTGCATGCTTGTGTTGTGCAATAATTCACAAGTTACCGGACTTTGCTGGCATTTCTCAGTCTCACAACAGATGTTTACACCGCATAGAGAAACCTCGCGCTGCTCCTTTAGAGCTCTCGCGTGACTTTGCTCAGTTCACCCATGGGCCTTAAAGGGCCAGCGCACTACATTCACAACATGGGAATGCTCACTTTATGCTGTGTGTCAACTAAGCATGTGCTGGTTTTAAACTCTGACGGTGGATAAAATATATAATGGTTTAAAGTTTTCATAGTATTGTGATTACTGCTCAAAAATGTGTTATTTTAAAATGTCTGGATATATATATATACCTTTTCCCCATTGAACACAACATGTTTTATTTTAAGAAACATTTTAAATAATTGGGCTTTTTTATTTTGAACATATCAGGCAAAACTATTTAAATAATTCACTGAATTCTTTAGTTTCAAGATGACAGATTTTATAACAACTTGAAAAGGCAAATAGCTTTCTTTTCTTTAAATATAAGGTAAATCCACTGCACTGTTCTACGGTCTACGTCATGCTTGCTTGCTTGTTTGTTGCTGTAAGCAGTGGCGCAAAAAGGGGGTGTGCAGTATATGCAGCGCATAGGGGCGCCACACATGGGGGGCGCCATTGTGCCAAAACTATTTTTGAAATTATCCTTATTCAAAGTTTCAGTTAATAAAAATGTGTTTAAAAAAATATTTTGCATTTTGTACTATAATATTGTACTTTATTAATTTATTTCTACTATGAGTTGCGTTAGTTGGCGCACACGTTTTAATTCAAAATCATTTAACACAATAACATGCAGTCACTCAGCCAAGTGTACAGTGTTCATGTACAGTAGATGTAAATGTTTAGATTTTTTTTTTTCCAAATAAACTTGTTCTTTATTTATTATTATTTATTATTGATTAATTAATTTGCCAAAAGAGAGATCAAAAATTATGTTTATGCAAGTACAGACCTCAAAATATTTCAGATAGCATAGAAAATAATATTTAGATTAGAAATTCCCCTTTATACATTTTATATACTTGATTATAATGATTCTTAACCCTGTTTAAACTGACACATAAATAAAGAGTCAGAATATTAAATTTTTTGGAACTGAGATGTTTATTAATCTTTATATCAATATCTATTTTTTCCCAATATAGATTTTTTTATACATTTATTATGTATCATAATGATACATCAGGTCTTTTGGTAACGTTTTTTGCTCAAAACTATTTCAATTTAGTTACAAAAAAAGTTTGCCCATAACATTTTGTCAGAACTCGCATACCCCTCAGTAAACGTGTTGTTGCGCCACTGGCTGTAAATGACATGTTTGTCAAACAAGTCCTGAATCCCAGCTCCAGCTTGGAACTTTAGAGTGGGCCAAGTGACATTTTAGGTGGGCAAATAAATAAATAAATAAATATACGGTTGAAGTCAGAATTTTTAGCTTTTTTAAATAGTTCCCAAATTATGTTCAACAGATCAAGGACATGTTCACAGTATGTCTGATATTTTTTTTTCCTCTGGGGAAAGTGTTTTATTTCGACTAGAATAAAAGCAGGTTTTACATTTTTAAACACCTTTTTAAGGACAAAATTATTTGCCCCTTTAGGCTATTTTTGTTTCCGATTGTCTCCAGAACAAACCATCGTCATACAATAACTTGCCTATTTACCCTAACCTTACTAGTTAACCTAATTAACCTAGTCCAGTTTCTAAATTTCACTTTAAGCTGTATAAAAGTGTCTTGAAGAATATCTAGTCTAATATTATTTACTGTCATCATGACAAAGAGAAAATAAATCAGTTATTGGAGATCAGTTATTAAAACTACTATATTAGTTACTAATATATTAACTACTATATTGGTATTGAGCAATTAAAACTATTACAGAAATTAGGGAAATGAATAAACAAGGGGGCAAATAATTTAAATACATCACTTTTAAAATGCTATAAATTATTTTATAACTACTTTATATAGGACAACAATTATTTCAAAGCTAATAAAATAATTGATATCATTTTAAAAGTGATGTATTTTATCTTTTTAAATTATCTCTGTCGTTTTAATAAAAGCAAACTAACTTTTATTGAATAACTATTATTTGTACTGCGGGCTATATTTATAGTGTTTGCTTGCTTGAGTATGTGTGTAAAACAGGGGCGTTTGCCAAGTTTTGCAAGAAACCTCCAGAAAAAACTTGTGGCTCTCCTGCAGATTTTAGCTCCAACGCTAATCAAACACACCTGAACAAGCTAATCAAGATTAAGGCTGTTTCTCAGTATGCGTTCTTCAGCGGTCTTGCGTCCTCGTGTTCTCGTGCAACGTCATCAACAGCTGCCTAAGTTCAGTTCCAATACTCAAGACCGCAAGTACGGAGGACGCGTGAAACTTCCCGGATGTGATCTTGATATCGAGGACGCACCGATGCAGACTTGAGCACCGAACTCACTCTGGAAGTCCCAGAAGTCATTGTGACTGGAGGTGGGAAGCGCAGCATTTTATTTAGATTTATTATTAAAGTTCAGAGATATCACTTATTTACCTCAGGAGTTTCCCTAAATGAAACGGTGAAAGTAAACATTAACATGAACATCTTAATAAAGGAATAAACACATTAAGAGTTGTTTGTTTGCTGAAATTCGTATTAAAATCTGTTTTATTTATATTGTGCAGAGTATATTTCTAATGTTTTTATGCAAAGTATATATTTTGAAGAGGGGGGAAACAATAAATCATTGTTTGAGTGCTGTAATTTTTAAATAATTTACCATTTAAAACACGTGAAGGTCATGTGACCATCAGGAAGACCGCAGCATCCCATTTCTCAAAGGACGCGTTCTCTGTCCTCGTGGTCTCCTGAGTTCGTTCTTCTGAGGACACCTGGCAAGACCGCTCTCCACAAGAACGCAAGTCCGTTCTCTGCGTTCTTGGAATTGAGAAACAGCCATACTTGAAATATCCAGGCAGGTGTGTTGAGGCCATTTGGAGCTAAACCCTGCAGGGACACCGGCCCTCCAGGACCAAGATTGCTGACCCTGCTCTCCATGAACTATATGGCTGATTTTAACATTGCAGGTATGTTTAGTGACCAAAACCGTCTTTTTTCAGCTTTTATTTAAAAAAGTTACATTTCTGATTTATAAATGTGTTCATCATTTTCATAGATCACTGTAAAAGTGATGGCTCCTCCATCCCTCTGGCTCCACTTTGGTCTGTTTTTGACTAAACTTCACCTCAGGACTCCACTTCTCTAGCTTCACCTCATCCCTCTGGCAATAGCAACGCAAGTGCTGATACTTATTTGTTTAATTACCTTCGATTGGCTGAAATCATTCAAATACACATCAAGTTTGTTTTCTACTTGACAATGCAAATGTAGTAAACTGGAAAGAATCTTGTAGCTCAAAGTAAAGAAACTTTATTTGGTAAAAGAAGCAAATTCTCAAGACAACATTAGTATTTCCAAACAACAAACTGTCCTAACACATAAGAGACCACGTGGCTGCATTGATGTCATGTGTGCAGCTTTTCCAGCCTGATCTCACGAGAAAACGCAAGTATTTTACGTTTTGGCAGTTTAGTGGCTAATTCGTACGAGTTCAGTCGTAAGAAAATGTAAGATTTTAAAAAGGAGGCGTGGCACCTAACCCCACACCTAACCCAACCGTCATTGGGGGATACGCAAATCGTACTAAAATGTACGAATTAGTTCGTACGAATAAGCCACTAAATGAAAAAGTTACGAATTGCCGTGAGATTGTGTTGGCTTTTCTCCAGTGTGGATGTTTGAGTGATTCTTAAGCTGCAACAAGTGTCTGAAACTCTGTAGACACTGATCACATGTGTACGGCTTCTCTCCAGTGTGAATCCTCTCATGTCTTTTCAGATGTTCTGATCGACTGAATCTCTTGTCGCAGTGTGAACACTTGTAAGGTTTCTCTCCAGTGTGAATCATTTCATGTGTTTTCAGGCTTCTTAACTGACTGAATCTCTTGTCGCAGTGTGAACACATGTAAGGTTTCTCTCCAGTGTGAATCCTCTCATGTGATTTTAGATGTTGTGATTGGCTGAATCTCTTGTTGCAGTAAGAACACTTGTAAGGTTTCTCTCCAGTGTGAACAATTTCATGTGATTTCAGATTTCCCAAATGGCCGAATTTCTTGTCGCAGTGTGAACACTTATACGGTTTCTCTCCAGTGTGAATAATTTCATGTGATTTCAGATGTGCAAACTTAGTGAATCTCTTGTCGCAGTGTGAACACTTGTACAGTTTCTCTCCAGTGTGAATCCTCTCGTGCTGTTTCAGTTCTGCAGCTGAAATAAAAGTCTTCTCACACTCAAAGCACAGATACTCTCTCACACCAGTGTGGATCTTCTGATGATGTTTTAAATTTGACTGCCAATTAAACCTCTTTTCACACACAGGACATGAATAAGGCTTCTCGCTTCTATGAACTGCAAGATGAACCTTCAGCTGTGAAGCACTCACAAATGTTTTGCTGCAGTGATCACATTTGTGTGGTTTCTCTCCAGTGTGGATCTTCATGTGTTGAATAATGTATGATAAGTACCTGAAACTCTTCCCACACTGAGTACATGTGTGCGGTTTCTCTCCGGTGTGGATCATCATGTGAGTCTTAAGACTCTTTTTGCTTCCCAAACTCCTTCCACACTGGGTGCAGGTAAAACGATTCTGGTCTCTTCCTTTCATAGCTATATTCCCAGCTTTGACATTGTGTTTTTCCTTTTTACTCTCCTCGTTTTCATCAATTAGGTCTGAAATAAAGAAGAAATAAAAGTGTTTAAAGTGAAAAGCCTTAGAAAACACTGGCTACACAAACTTTAATTGTTTATGCACATGCTTGAACTATAAATCTGATCGTATTTAGTTTGGTCATATTAAATGTTTATTAAACTGAGCTTCAGTTCTTATTTTTACCATGGGAATATAAGGTGTATTTTTCAATGTCTTTATATAATACATTATTTGTCCTAGTACAATAAATCAGATGAGCTGTTATCATTACTGTTCTTCAGGCTTATTATTGAAGGATTAGGAATAATCACCAACCTGTTTGCTCTTCAGGATCTTCATGTGTAAATCTGCAAGGTTCTGGATCACTCATGTTCAGTCTCTGAGGATTTCACTCCTTGCTGAAGGTCTGATGCTCGTCTACACTGCTGGGCTGATGGGGATATTCCAGTATTTACACATGAAGGAGGAGGAGCTGAACTGAAGGAGGAGGAGCTTCAGATACTCCGTATCTGCTGTGACCACCATTGGCCTCACACAGTGCAACACATTTGCATCGAGTCGATCAGGATGTTGATTGTAGCCTGTGGAATGTTGGTCCACAACTCAATGGCTTTGCAAGTTGCTGGATGTAGGCAGGAACTGGAATGTCATATACATATTGAGCATGGAAGGACAAGCTCAGTCCTGGAGGACTTGTGTCCAGCAGAGTTTAGCTTCAACCCTAATCAAATACACCTGCCTATAGATTTCAAGTGATCCCGAAGACTCTGATTAGCATGTTCAGGTCTGTTTGGTTAGTGTTGGAGGGGAACTCTGCAGGCACAGAAAGACAGAGTTTGCCTATGCATGATCTAAAGTATCCCAAGCATGCTCGATCAGTGACCTGTCCAGTGAGTATGCTGGCCACCTCTCCAAAATGCCAGATGCCATTAAATGTGAGCATTTGTCCGCTCAAGTCAGGTACGATGACAAACTACAGGCAGATGGAGACTTCAAATGAGGAGGACAATCATGTGGATAAGCTTCCCTGAGGTGGATTCTGACAACTTTGTGCAGAAATTATTTGGCTGTGAGCAACTGAGCAGCTGTCCCATAGGCTGGTCACAGAAGATCTTGGAGATGAAGATGCCAGATGTGGAGGTTGCGAGGCTGGTTGGGCGTACTTTCAAATACTCTAAAACGCCTATGGATATGGCTTATGGTAACATTAAATTCGTGGGCAACAGCTCTGGTCAGCCTGTCAATTGCACGCTCCCTCAAAGCTTGTAACTAATGTGGCATTGTGCAGTCTGATAAAGCTGCACATTTTAGCCTGGCCTTCTAATGCTAAACTGTGTGTTAATTGTGCTGTTGAGGACTTGCAAATGTATGATATTAAATTACCAACTTAATAAATTATATAGCTGAAAAGTTATATTCAGTGTGTTTTACCTCATGACATTCCAAGAAAGATCAAGTCTGAAAGGCCAAGAGTACGAGACATCAGCCTATTGTTTATATGCAAATCCTGACCATCGGACAGGCTCCCAAAGTAATGCAAATGCTAAGCTGTGCCTTTTGTCTCAATGAAAGTCTGGCCAATACTGTCAGGCTGATTGCGCTGATTGTTTTGTTAATTGGGTGAGATCAGGGTGGGTGAAACTTCACAGTTTAGACAAGATCTTTCAACTGTAAGGATGCTCCTGTAAGTGACTGTAGGTCTCTCCATAATAATAAACCCTGAGAACTGTTTTGAAATTACACATGAGAAATGACCACGAGAATTATCTAGCACTAAACCAATAAGCTTTCTTACGGAAGCGTAGAGCTGCCACCCAGGTTAAAAAAAAAATCTCAGCTTTATCACGTTTGTACAATATACTTTTCACGTTCTTACAATATAATATCACGTTCTTACAATAAAATATCACGTTTGTACAATATAATTATCACGTTATTACGTGAAAACTTTATTGCTTAGGCTACGTTTACCTGGTGCGATCAGAGCGTGAGAAAATGTCTCGTTTTACAGAATTAATTAAGTTCTATTTTATGCTTGGATTGAGACATGGGGAAATTTTGCAGCTACTGATTGTGATTACTAGACCCAGTAATAAAACAGTTAGTGATGTTATGATCCATACTCCATCGCAAGAATCTTTGCATGTCTGCCATTGTGACATTTTCTGTTCCCAGATCTTGAGAGAATCCGGAAAGGTGTCCCAAGCCTCTTTTCAACTTCTGCTATGAAATAACCAGCAATGATTTTGGGATCACTGTTTGTTGAAAAGGCATGAAGCCAAATCATAGCTCTCGAAAACCCATCAATGGCTCTATTTATACAGATTCCAAAGGGCTTCAGTTTGTCGTAGGAGTCGACGTGGTATGGCGGCAATCAATGCCAATATTAATCGAGCGCAGCGGTGATGTTTGCACGCAAGGAGAAGTGAACCGTGAGCAGATTACAGGTCTACACGTGAGAAAACTACAGCTCGCGAGTGCACAGGGGATCTTCCAGCGCGAGAATAAAAGTCCCACGCGCGCACATCATCATCTGTGCGCACGTAAATAACGTGATAATTATATTGTACAAACGTGATATATTGTAAGAACGTGAAAAGTATATTGTACAAACGTGATATTATATTGTAAGAACGTGATATTATATTGTAAGAACGTGAAAAGTATATTGTACAAACGTGATAAAGCTCAGATTTTTTTTTACCTGGGTGGCAGCTCTACGCTTCCGTACTTTCTAATCTGAGAAGTAGATCCGCTAGGAAACCAGTTGTTCAGGTTGGCTCGATCATGCATCCTGAACCCCCCTCTTTTCCCTGGACTTTACCTTCTCCACTAGAGCAGCTCCACACAGAATGTCCACATTTTTAATACGGTGCATCATGTGACTCTATATTCCTGTTTGGTGTCATTTTAAATGTCTCTGTGTGATTGGTAAAGTGGCCTAATTTGGGTTTTGACTGATTAAGATCTTTGCCAGATGCTCCATTCCAGGGAAAATGGTCTTCACATCAACTCATGCCCAGGCAAGGGTCTTTGTAAAGCTTTTATTGTGTTGAATTTATAGTGATTTGAGTATTTAAAGGAAATGTGCAGAAGTGTCTGTGGGATTCTGTGCCCAGTTGCAGTGTGGAAAGACTTAGGGCGTACTCACGTTATGTACAGCTGCCTTGAACTGGGCCAAAGCACGCTGGTCCCCCCTTCCGTCTCTCCTGACGGCCCGCACTCACATTACATTCGGGCCTGGGCACGCTTACGTCATCGATGATACGCTGGTCGGAAGCGCTCTCGCTCAGCACAGTGGAGATTTCTTTGGTTATGTCCTTTGATATGTAATGACGCATTATGTACAGTTGCCTTAAATCATACCAAAGCAGGCTTGTCCCCCCTCTCGTCCCCCCCGACGGCCCGCAGCAAAGCCCAAGTGAACCGCGCTTCGGCATACCTCTTCCAACCGCACCAGGGCCGGCCAAGTGGACCATGCCTGAGCTCGATTCAGTGCTCTTACACCTCTCAAACGATCCGGAAAACAGGCCTGGGCACGGTTCGGATAGCATAGTGTGAGTATGCTGCAACGTACATCTACACAGTCAGGTATTAATCTCTAACTCTTAAATGATTCTGTGGGTAATTGATGTTGTACATTTCTGAATTGGTTAGTTTAACTCTAATATCTCCTGAAATCTTTGTAACTTGTAGATTGTTTAGGCTGATGGTTCTGCAACCAACTTCCAGGATTTGTTCATACAGTGGCTAAAACAAACTTTCTTTATGTAAGACCCTTACACAACTTTCTACTATCAACCTTTGTTAAAGTTGTCAGGCCAGTGCTTTGTCTCTACTTCTAAGCACTGCCCCTTTATAATGTATATAGACTACAGCTACACTGACCAGTCCTTTAGTCAGACTTCTTGATGATTAAACCCAATGGCTAGTTCTCAATAAAGAATCCTGATTGAAGATACCCAAGAGTCTCTTGTGCTGTATTTACTATATCTTTATTCACTATTCCCTAAATAGGTCCACTAGTATCTTCCACTTGAAGGAGTGAATGTAAATAACTGTGTAAGAGCAATCGATGCACTGGAAGAGATATGGTTTTGTTTGTCTTTTGCTGGTTGATAAATCCCTCAGAATGATACAATTTTAGATTACATGAATGACTGTATAACTTCTTGGACAGACCCTTTGATCACTATTAAACACAGCAAGTTGTCTGTTAGCAATGAAACAATATTGTGGCTTCTGTCATGTATACAAATGCTATTTTAATTAAATAATGTTTTATTTTAGTACTTAAAATGATAGGATTCAACTGTAGATGTCCTCTTGTGGTCAGACGCAGATTTTCATTTGGCACACAAACTCTCACTGTACACAAGGGATATTTACTAGCTGTCGAGGGTGCAGGGGTTTCTACACTGGTTATTGAGTGCACTTCATATTGTCCACTATGGTTTTGGACATCACTAGACATGGCTGCTCATCACCTCCCTGGTGCTCTGCCCTCCCTGGAGTGCCCCTTGAAGTTTGGATGTTTCTGTAAGTGGAAGGATGAGCCTTTCCAAAGAAGGCTGTACTGTTAGGTCTCTGTGGCTTTGTTCCTGTCCAATTCTCACGGCCTTCACGGTTCTGGATCACTCATGTTCGGTCTTTGCAGATTTCACTCAAAGACCAAATGCCAGAATGTTCTTATTGGGTTCCCAAAGAAATAACCAAATGAGAACCATATGGGAAAGTTGGGGGAAGGTTTAGTTCCTGCTTAAGATACTTTTACCTCTAATAACAGGGTGGGGGTATTTTAGGGGATGCACTGGACACAATAGGTGATTGTTGTATAATTGAGCCTTTTGGCACCAGTTAAATGAGCCCAATGGGAGAATTTACACGAGCATACCTAACAAGGTGAAAACAGGAACCATTAATGCTCTCTGATTATATTGACGAGCCTCAGACTATAAGGACTCATTAACTAGGCCATTCAGGATCAACAGCAGATCAGCTCCACTTTACAACATGAAACTAAAAGACAATCGAGTTTCAGGCCCTAATTTGTATTTTGCTTCTGGGAATTGATCTACAGCAGGGGTGTCTAAACTCGGTCCTGGATGGCCGGTGTCCTGGAGAGTTTAGCTCCAACCCTAATCAAACACACCTGAACCAGCTAATCAAGCTTACTAGATATATTAAAGCTTCCTGGCAGGTGTGTTGAAGCAAGTTGGAACTAAACTCAGCAGGACACCGGCCCTCCAGGACCGAGTTTGGACAGCCCTGATCTACAGTGTCTGGTGAATTGATGGCAAGTTAAGCCCATGACCAAACATTCTGTCTGAAACACAAATGGACGACTACTCTAAGAGAAAAGATTGATTGCAGAGTTTGACCAATAAGAACTGTGTATTTCTTGAAGCCGAGTAGTACATATTAATATCAGCCCTACTGAAAAAAACAGCTTAAACCAGCCTAGGCTGGTTGGCTGGTTTTAGCTGGTCAACCAGGCTGGTTTTACAAGGGTTTTGGCCATTTCCAGACTGATTTCCAGCCATTTCCAGCCTGGTCTTAGCTGGTCAGGCTGGGAGATGACCAGCTAAAACCAGCTATATCCAGCTAAGACCAGGCTGGAAATGGCTGGAAACTAGCAAGGAAGTGGCCAAAACCCCTCTAAAACCAGCCTGGTTAACCAGCTAAAACCAGCCAACCAGCCTGGGCTGGTTTAAGCTGGATTTTTCAGCAGGGGTGGTTTATATATTTTCCAGTTGGCTAGATGATCATTAATAGTCATCCAAACATATTTACCGAAGCCTCTGTAGTTGACGTTGGTCTCGCGTGTCCGCCATCTTTGTAGTTTGTTTACACTTTTGCCGCCGATTTTGTAGTTCTAATCAAATTAGCAGTTCGAGTACAGACGCTTCGCATGTCTAAGGTAAATAGTAAAGTATCCGGGAACTTTAGCATACACTTTTCAACATACTTACATTTAGGGACATACTAATACTATTTTTGAACACTATTTAGGACGGAAAGTATGCAGCATCTGTGTCCTGCAGTGTCTAATCATCCCCGAAGCCCTCCTGAAGCCCTAATCATCAATGCTCAGCTCCAGGTGAGTTTTATTAGGATTGGAGCCAAGCTTCAGGCTTCCAGGCACATGAAACCATGATTATGATACATCGTTCACCAGTGATGATGCAGCCCAGAGAAATAAACTGCACATGCTGTAGTGCAAGGCTTAGATTTGATTTCCTTGGAGTTTTTCCCTTTTCCTAATGTATCCAAGGTTTGTTTTTGACCCCCTCTGGAGTCAGTGGATGAGATCTGAGCTTTGATGAGCACACAGACAGTATGTGTGCAATATTAACGCAAATATAACATAGTCGGAGGACGGAAAATGAGAAGATATTGATTGCATGAATAAGAGAGATCAGATTAGCAGCAATGCACCGTCTGTGTCTGATAGCAGCAGGCGGTCAAGATGAGGCTGGTTAGTTAGGAGAAATATTCTAGGAGAATATTTCTCTTTTGATTTCATTAAGCAATATTTCTGACTGATATCATGTTAAAGAATAATTTTTTAATCATTGAACACTATCAATGATCTGCTGCTGTTAAGATAAAGTCAGAATTATATATATTTTCCCCTAATTTCTGTTTTACACAAAGATTATTTTCAACATTTCTAATCAGAATAGTTTTAATAACTCATCTCTAATAACTGATTTCTTTTTCCTGCTGAAAAATCCAGCTTAAACTAGCCTAGGCAAGCTGGGAATCCAGCCAAAACCAGCTATATCCAGCT